TTCTGGAGTGGCAAATAAATTAGAGTTTTTGTATCCCCCTCATTTAAATTAATGCATTAACAATAAATCAGTATTCACCTTAACTACTGAAGCGTTCCTCTGTCTGTGAGCCAAGTTAATTGATGAACAAGAGTCACGCGATCTTGGATTAGAACGGAACGACTTTGCCTGATTTTCCACCATGGTCCATTCAAACCGCACCGGAATTTGTCCTGAAATGTGTCCTGGTTTACTGGGACTACTTGCTACTTTCGTGTATCGTGTTTCAAACGGCACCCACGCCAATGAATGTATATGGGATGTCTTGGTCGTTCCAGACGTGGGTTCGAAAGAGCTGGCTATCCGATAGTCAGCCCGGGTGACCGACTTGATGGCTCTAGGCTGTCCGGCTCGAGAGTTACAGGGCTCACTGAAATTCATGTGCTGACAGACAGAAGTGGGGCTCGAACATGTCAAAGGATGCCGGCAACCAGTGTACCGAGGCTTGGCTCCTTCACGTCCGTCGGCTGGAATTTGATGCCTGAATTGATGCACTAATTGCTGCTTTTGTATTTGCTTGCATAAAAGTGAAGAAATAAGAAACAATGATAAGCAACACTAATTACGTCGGCTCGAGAGATAGACTATCCCTGGGAAACACCAAATTCAAGTTTGTTTTTGTTTTTTATTTTGCTCTTCTGAAGACTACTCACTCAAAGAATCATGAGATCGATGCCCAAAAACAAATTGGCTTGCGGTATTAATTTAGGAAAATATATTGTTGAAATATTATAGAGTGAGTCACCTTTAATTTCACAGACTTGCAACTCCTGACTCCTGGACTCTGATTTCAGTCTGCATAAAATCATCTTGCAGCATTGACATTCATTAGGCTCAGCAGAATGGGGCAAATGAAATAATTAATATTTTTTTATTGATATTCTATTTGTGTCATTTATTTTTATTTTGATCTTCCTATACACATTCACGAGATCCTTGCATTGGTTACGTTTTCAGAAAA